TCTTCAATGGCAAACCTTCTTACGTACACTCTGACGGGCCTTGTTATACAAATTGGACAGAGGGATGAAAATAAAAGACAAAAAGAAGTTCACTTAAACATTAATATTCTGCAATTAATTAACAAAATACAAAAGGACATCCATGAATTAAACCTCATTAACAGAAACTGTGAGCATGGAGATTGTACACTCAAAAAAAGTTACTTTTGCTACTTGTTCAACCTAATTATTTGAAATTAGTTGAAATTACACAATTCTTAAGTTTTTTTGGGGGGACAACTTTGTTTTATGTTCAATACATCTAAATTTGTAAAAAAGGATTAGTTAACTTAATCAATTTATGCTGAGACAAGATGAAGAAATTGTGTAGAACCCAGCATTTTTAAAGTGTAGTGTATACCTTGAGTTTTTAAAAGCTTAGCTTAAATGTGTGATTTGAACCTGGAACCTAACAAATGGATATTTTCAAGAGTGTACAATTTGCAATTTCAAAAAGGAAGTATTAAAAATAGTACCAACAAATATAATATATGTTAAATAAGGCCTTCTGAAACCAAAAAAGCTTCAGAAAAGCTGAAAGCTTCAGAAGCCATTAATTGTACATAAATGTAAAAGAGCAGCCAGCATATTGCTTCAAAATATCTTGCTTTGTAATTCAAAGAATTAAAACTATGACAGGTTTGGGCATGAGGGTCAGTAAATGACAGAATTGTCACTTTTGGGTGAACTGTTCTTTTAATTATGCGATTCTGCCCAGCTCCCTTTTAGAGGGTGCAAACACTGAATGATTATTCCTCTATGGACATGCCTCTGGAGGACAGCTATAAATATACCAGCATGCAACAGGGCCGATTAAAAGCAGACAATGAGCAACAGGAAGCGATTTTGAGGAAAGGTCAGGCTGGGTGGAGGGTAGTGTGACTGTTGGCGAGAGCTCCTCTAGTTTAGTGGCCCTTCAGCAGGTGACTCTTTTGTGGATAAACAAACAGGACCCTATGCTAGAATACACTTTAACTGGTCAGGGAATTAACATTTCATTAACTTAACTCTTGATCATTTATTCAAAATTCTAGAGCACTTAAAGGTTTTGCTCTCCAAAAGTGAAAATTAGCCTACTCACCCTTAAGACATCCTAAGGGGCATTAACAGTCTAAAACAAGTCCAGTAAAGCGCATCCATCTATATAAAAGTGCCTCACATGCCTCCAAAGGGTGAAGAAAGGTCTACTGTAGCAAGTTGATTCATAATATTCATACTTAAAACTTTATAAACAGTTTTGTGTAACTTCTGCTAACTGTCTGTCGTCCACATGTTCATGAAAGCAAAACAGTTCAGCGCTTAATGGCACATGCGTCCTCCATTATTAAAAATGTAAAGCACTTTTTTGTTATGTATGGATTAGAGCTGCACGATTTTGGCTGAAATGAGAATCGCGTTTTTTTTTTTTTTTTTGGTTACGATTTTCTCACGATTCTGTAGATGTAAAATAAAGGTTAATTTGAGTGGGCTATTATTATTGTTATTCTCAAACATAAGGTGAAACAGCAATAGGCTTTGTGTAGCTGTACTGTGGGTTAAAATGCTAAATTTTGTATAGACTTGGAATGGTGGACATGAACCGACTTTAGATTTGTCCTGGTCATTAATGCTGATGATAATTCTGATATTAAATCATTGTGTTTGAGTCATATGCTTACAATCTGTAATTTTCTGCTTAAAATCTGTCACTGATGTGATTTTCGTGAATACAGAAGACTGGGTGAGTATTTTTGCATTTCGGCGGTTTGGATACTTTTTGGGCTGGAATGTTTCGCCTACAGCTGGCAACACGGTTCACTAAAGTAGACTTCATTCAGAGGCGCGCACACCCACCCTCTCTGTGGTAACAGCTGACGGTCAGCACACGTCACGTGTGATTTTACGTTCGCAAATACATTACATGAAAACAGAAATGACATTTTTGAGGTGAATTATATCTTATAAATACAACATGTGACTCTTTCAGCACCATTTGGAGGTGTCCACGTTGCTGAACAACGTATGTAAAACAATGTGAAGACTTATGCGGCCACCAATGCTTCTTTCCTAAACTTGAAAATATGATTGACAGAATCGTAGAAATGCTGGATTAAGATCGTCTAGGGGTTTGAATCGAGATCGTGATCTTTTTCCAATGAATTGTGCAGCTCTAGTATGGATGGGACTTTATGGGTTTTGGAGTGTTGAAGATAAATACCCCGTTTCCAATGCAGAGCGTGAATTTTAAAATAATTCTGGTTGGAATCGACTGAAATAAGAAAGTCAAATACAACTAGAATGCTTTGAGGGTCAGTAAATCAAGGGCTAATTTTCATTTTTGGGTGAACTAACCCTTTAATATATATTTTGTCTCAAGAATAAACTCTCAGCTTAACCTCTGAACAGAAGCCCTGGCTGAGTCTTCTACAAGACAAGAGGGTGTGTGCTTAAAAGGATATTGCATTTCCTCTGAGTTACAAAGTCATTGTGAGAACCGGCACTCTCCTTCCTTTAAGCATTACACATATTACTCAACTTTTCATCTTTGCTCTGTATAGTACCACTGGAGTGCAGTCATGTGAACTGGTTTTGTTATGGCAGGAAAAAAACTTTTCAGCAAGTGACTGATCTGCTTCATTACAGTTATTCAGTACAGTACAGCTTATACGATTCAACCAAATGTTCAAATGCTCAGGGTTTCAGTGCCTAGATTTAAACAAGGAGCGAAGTAAACACCAGAGTTAGGAACTATTCTCAAGGCACTCAAACTGACATGAATTAAACCTTTAGCATTTAAGTCAGCTTATCCCTTAAGCAGAGCCATGTTCCCTTAGTGTACATCTTACATTCTTTGCCAAAAGCTGCTCCTTGAACTGTCACATGGAAATCTAAAAATACGGATCCTTTCCCTCATAACAACCCTAGCAGGTGAACTATTTTAAAGGTGTTCTCGGTAAGTTCTGGTTTAGTTAGTTCTTACATGTCGCAATGGCCAACTATGACTGATTTTTTATTCTATTTAACAGATCGTAAACATGCTGATTCATGCCATCAATATTTTGTCGTGACATTGACTTTTATGTCTGTTCTTTGTATAGCATGTCATAATATAAACCAACACAGTAGCATTCAGAACTATTTAGCCATTTTGGCAAATTGATATGATCTCATTCTAGCATTTTCCTATGATCTTTAGGGGTGGATTTGTAATAGACCTTTATGTCGATGTTTTTCTTCAAGGAGTTGTACACTATTGTTGGACTCCTGAGTAGTCGCAGCCACCATTTGGAAACGCTGTGGCAATAAAACAAATCAACGAAAGGATTGACCACTTATATGACTTATTATACAAGTGCTATTCTTCGTGAGCATTTGAACATATGCCTAAAAACTACCCTAAAGCAGGGGTGTCCAAAATCAGGCCTGGAGGGCCAGTGTCCTGCATAATTTAGCTCCAACTTCCTCCCTGAAGTTGCTACCTAGAAAGAGGCTGTTTCTCAATTCCAAGAATGTGTGAAGACTGCTCTTGCCATCTCGGAAGAATGAATTCAGGAGACCACGAGAACAGAGAACGCATCCTGTAAGAAACTAAATGCATTCTTCCTGATGGTCACATGATCACGCATTTTTAATGGGAAATTATTTAAACATCACAGCATTCATACAACAATTTATAGTTCTTACCCTTTTTACAATATATACTATGCATAAAGACCTTACAAATATACATTGCACAATACAAATAAAACAGATTTTAATACGAATTTCAACAAATAAAAACCCTTTATGTGTCTTTGTAAAGCTTTTCATGGTAATGTTTACTTTCTCATTTAGGGAAACTCCTGAGATAAATAAATAAGTTATATCTCTGAACTTTAATAAAAAGGCTGCGCTTCCCACCTCAAGTCTCAATCACTATTGGGACTTCTAGAGCTAGTTTGGTGCTCAAGTCTGTATTGGTGCATCCTCGATACCAAGAACGCATCCGGGAACCTTTCCACATCCTCCGTTCTTGCGGTCTTGAGTTTTGGAACTGATCTATGGCAGTTAATTATGACATCGCTGAAGAACACATATTGAGAGACAGCCAGAGCTTGATTAGCAGGTTGAGGTGTGTTCAGTTGGGGTTGAAACTAAAATATGCAGGACACCGGCCCTCCAGAATCAAGTCTGGACCCAATGGCCTAGAGCACCACCTGATGTTAATGCCGAAGTTCTGAATCAATTCAATAGAGAATACCAAACTGAATAGACTTATTGCTACAGCTCTTATAAATGCACTTTGCTTGTTCGACTCTGTAGCAACATTTTAAGTCCTTTAGGAATTAAAGAAATGAATGAATCTAGTGACTTCTTGAACAAGACTCATCGACATGACATCATCTGCCATTTATCATGCAGACTTCAACTACTTTCCACTGAAAGCTTTTGCAACAATTAGTGGCATGGGTGTCATAATTACTCTGTTTTATAGATTACAACTTGTAGAAGCTGTTCACATTCTAGTACAACTCAAAATACAAGAGTTTCTGAGCAACTGCTTGTACCATGTGACCAGTAAATCACCTAACTGTGACATATTGATTAAGATTCTAAGTAAAGACGTTAACAATAAGTCCATACAAAAGACTAATTGCAAGTCAGCCGACATGAACAGCTGGTGTTGTCATCTCAAAATAACAGTAAGGTGTGAACTTATGCCACAGCTAGTCATGTGACAAACATGGCGGCACCCATGAGGGGTGTACCAGCTCTGTGTGACATAATAACAAAACTTTTTTCTATTCTGCGTATGTATTTTTAATAATCATATCTTGCACAACATTATAATAAACTTTTAAAATGCACATATTAATAGATCATAAAAACTTGTTGTTTAGATTTACATAAACATTAGGCTAATGTTCAAGAGCCCTTTTGAAGTCGTCAGAAGAAGCATTATTTAGAGCATTCTCTGTTAACACAGAAGTTGTTCCACTCACCAAACCACGCCGAAAGCTCCGTATCCGATCGGTCTGTCCGGCTCTATATCCAGCTGTTGTTGTAAGTGATGCGAGTGTTGGTGGTGGTGATGGTGCACCTTTACAGCGGCCGCGGCGGCGGCTTGCACCTGTGCTGGGGCTGCAGCGGCCGCCGGCCCCGGAGCTTGTCCAGGAGCGGGCGAGGGGAAGTACGGCTGCTGCTGGCTCGGGTTCAGCATCACCGCCGCCGCCGCCGCAGCAGCAGCGGCCGCGGCCGTAGAAGCGTGCTGCTGTACGGGGTGCACGGCGGCGGCCGAGCCGGGGTGCTGGAGGTGATGCTGGCCAGCGTGGTGATGGTGGTGGAGGTGGGCGGGTGGCGGGAGATGTGGCAGCTGGTGGTGATGGTGCGGGTGATGCGCTGCCACTGCCGCGGTGCCGCCGTTGTACGCAGCCATCATTTTCGCGGCATTGGAAGCCGTGGTTCCGCACAGAGCCATTCACTCACTCAACAGCCCGAAATGAGAGGTGGAAAAACAAAACAAAGAGGCGAACGAGATGGAGTGGGAGGCTGCCAAGATGTCAAACTCTCATTTGGCCGTCATAGAGCCAAACGACGGGTAAAATCAAAGCATAAATGTCCGGCATACATCAAGACGAGAGTGAAAAGGTGTCATACTAACAACTCTTCAGCTTTGATCTGACCTACTTCGGAGAATCTTTACGCGTTGTACGTTTCAGACTAGCAAAATGACAAGCGCGGACATCCAAGAACCCTCAAGCGGAGGGTAAACAAAAGAAAAGTAAAAAAGGAGAGAGGGATTAAATCAAAAGAATGCGCTCCCCCCATAATAAATCAATTCCGCACGGCCTTAAATCTCCCTCATGTCGGAGGCATGAGGAGCACCTTGCTTCGGCTCGAAACTCGGGCTTGCGCGGAAAGAAGGGAAATTAGGCGAACAGTACAAGTTACGGGGGATATGCAACATTCATCTTTTGGATTTCTTCATATTTGCCATTTTGGGCTCTTCCAGCCCTGTTTCCACCGCCAGGGCTGCATGCAGTTTGCAGAAGTTACGCGGATCTCAATCAGGCCACCGCTGCTGCTGACTTGGTACTTGCTCGCCAGCTTACTTGTTTACATGTACATTAAAACGCGCAATTCTCCCGCACGAAAAGACTGCTACACTGGATCGATCCGGGAAGCTTGTTTTGCAGTATGGCGCTCTGTTGCCGCTTTCTGTTGCGCTCGAGCCCTCCTAAGCTGTAGATGGATAGCTGCTCCAGATCCTCTCCAAATGTCAAAATCCTCTCGAAACACCCATCACGCTGATCAACACAGCAATCCGTTTCCCTGGAACAAGGAAAACATTCTTCCGAAGCCCTTCAACTTATTTTCCCCATCGATAGCGATGCGCTCGTTCACCGGCGTGCCGCGTTCCTGCTCTCGAAATCGTGGGCATGTATACATCCAGTGAAGAAGAAATCAAAAGAAAAACATCCAGTGTTCCTTGCAGCCAGAAAACAGGCGGCCAGCGTCCTCACCCCCTCGCCGGATGGTGCTGCCAGGACCTGGGAAGGCACACGCGCAACCCTGCCGTCTTGGGTACCCGTCTATTCCTTGTCCGTTGACAGCTCTCTGCACCAATCACCTCGCGGCTCTGAAGCAGCACAGCCAATCAGCGGACGAGAGGAAGAGACGCAGGTCCAGCCATAATAAACTGGCCCTTGTTGCATGTGGAAGCAAGCGCCATTACGGCTACAGCATACTGTAAAAGACAGTGCGAGTCTACGGAGCCGTTGAGCCGAAATGGAGAGCGAGGGGGCCCACGTACCCAGAGATATTACGCGAGACATGCCATCCAATTAGCACCTGCCGTTGAAGTGAGTCTCTCGTCTGAAAGGAGACACATGATTCGCTGTCCAATCGTTTTTCAAATCGAAGGCAAAATGCAGAACAAGGACGGTCAAACATTATACAATATTTATTAAATATAATACAGTTCGCGAAGTTTATAGTAGTTTTCACTCTACATTAACATACGCTTAATTTGAGTGATGCATAATATTTATAATAAATATGTCGGTATATTTAGTAAAACTACATTTCTAAACTTAATAATTAGTATAGATATTACAGAAACACTTACCACTTGACACTTATCATCTACCACTTTTACTTATATGTTAGTTTTGTTGTTTTTGTTTATTAATTATGATGTCCAAGTTTATAAATAAATAAAAATACAGATCATTACTTTCAGTTTCTGTTTGTTTCAATTGGTACTTATGTGTTATTCATTGTATTACTTGTAATTACTTTATAATTATTTATGAAACTTACTTGCACGTATGATATAAATAAAGCTTTATTTGAGTAATGTGTAGTATTCTAAAAATATATGTCGGTATATTTAGTAACAATACATTTTTAAACTTAATTATTAGTATAAATATTACAGAAACACCACGTGGCACTTATCATCTATCACTTGTAGGTATATGTTCATTTTTGTTTATTTGTTTTAATGTCCAGGTTTATAAATAAATAAAAATAATGATCATTTTACTTTCAGTTTTTGTTTGTTTCAAGTCTTAATTATATGGGTAATTCAGGTCCGTATAGTTCGAAAGATACACCCCTCACTGACAAAGGTCCAAGTTTTGTCCCATATATTAACTGGTCTTATTTTAACTGCTCTATATTATTTAATTAGGGGTTGCCACAACGGAATGAACCACCTATTATTATTATTATTATTATTATTATTATTATTATTATTATTATTATCATGTTTTAATTTTCTATTATTCAAATGGCCAAATTCTGACTGTGGAAGGTTAGATAAGCTGGCTGGTTTGTTATTTGCCAAATAAATGACAATAGGCTGTAGGTTTTCATTTAAAACTTTAACAGAGTGCTGTTTTTTTCTAATGGTATATGATGTGATATATTTGTGTTTTAAAAATAAGTATTTATTCATATTTATTTATTTAAAATATTTAGGAAATAGTTTTGGCACATCAAAAAGTGTTACAAACACCTGACCAGCAAATTCATCTAAAAGTTGTTTAAAATGTCACTAAAATGCAGTATATAAACCTCATAATTAAATAGAAAATGTTTTGAATAACTGCAAAATGGTGCCCATTTTGAGAAAAAAGAACCACCCCTTTCACCAGGCTGCCTACAGGCCTGTTATTCATTGTGTTACTTGTAATTACTTGTAATATATAATATAATAATATAGCTTTGTTTGAGTAATGTATTATTTTCCAAAAACTGTTTTGGTTTAGGCCAAATATTGAATAAAGTAAAGGGGTTAGACAGACCATATTTTTTTTTACCAACAATACACAATCCTCTCCTACAAATGAGCTCTGGTTGTATGATCGCCAGACCTATGGTTTCTATGCAGTATTGACAAAAGTGCCAGCAGTATAAATGTTACTATTTACCTCACCTACGGGGCAAGTTGTAACAGACAGAGGGTTAGTTGTAACACATGCTTAAAAGGCAGATTTGAATGAATTTAAATTCAATTTACTTTAAATAGTATATTTCCTCAGTACTTAACTCATTTTGTTATACTACATAGCACAGCATGTTTATTTATTTATCTATTGGATAAACATATTTGGATTTATTTGCATTATTATCCATTATTATGCAATGCATTTATGTGCATTATTAGCAATAAAAAATTCTATAAAAAATATATTTTCTATTTAAACATTTTTATTTAAAAAGCTCTTAACATCAAACTCGAATTTCTAAATTATTTTGTTAGTTTAATTGGTGTTCAACATTGTGTGGCTTATTTGTAACAACCTGTTACACAACTAACTCGACTGTGTAGTGTTTTCCTTGCAGTCGCTGTGTGTTTTTTACATCTTTTAAAATAATTTCATCTTTTATAAAAATAATTTTATGCTGCAAAAATAGTTTCTCCTGTTTCTCATCCAAATTTCGCAAAACTTTTTTAATTGGCAGGAAGATGTCTGCTGACACTATGGTTAAAACCTCTGAATCATGCCATGGTTTACCCTGACCAAACACCTTAAAGCTCTGTGTTACAATTTACCCCATGCACTTTGTGCCCCGCGCTCCCCTACATTTCTAAACTTTAATATTATTAAAAATATTACAGAAACACTCACCACTTGACACTTTTCATCTTTCACTTGTAGGTATATATTCTTTTTGTTGTCATTTTGTTGTTTTTCAGTTTATTTATTATGATGTCCAGGTTTATAAATAAATACAAATCATTTATTACTTTCAGTTTCTGTTTGTTTCAAGTATTAATTAATACAGTAAATATATGTGCAATTCACTTATTGTAATTGCTTTGTAATTATTTATAAAATTTACTTAATAAATATTTTTTATAATATGTATACTTTTATATCAAAATACTAATTTAAAATTAGCGTAAGTTATTATAATGTAATTAACAACTCTTTACTGTTACAATAGTTGTATTACACTTGTATTTGTGATGCTTAAAACCCTTCTTTCTTCTTTGACCCAAAGATGTTGATTTGTTATTTGTTAAAAATATTAGTTTTAGCCCCTTCTATCATTAAAACATTAGGTAACATCCTTTCATATACACAGAAATATCCACAGACAGCTTACTTGTCACATATATTTGTTCCTTCTGTTTTCAGAATGGACTTGTTTACGAGACTGGAAAACTTAATCAAGTTGACTTGAGCAGTTTAGAGTCTACAGCTGTACATTCCACACCTTTGACCTCGACTCTTATGTGTTTGCTTAAGGATAAATGCTTCATCTCAGCAGACTCTCACAGCGCCGCCGGTGTACTGAAGCATGCAGGTGATGTGTTTATTTGTGATATAACTCAAAGCTCTGTTTAAGCATTAACTCAGGCGTAAGTCTACACACACTCTCTGATTCATTATTTGATTTATTTGATAACAGAGTTGGTGAAATGAGACTACTGACCTGGTTTAATCTGCTCTTATGACCTTTTATATTATTGGCCGAAAAAATGTTCTTGTAATATCAAGCTGCCATGTGTAATTGTTATAATGTCCTGGAATATAACCACCAGGGGCATTAAAAGTCTGAAAGGAAGCATAAGTGAGCATCTGCAGTCTTTCCAGAAAGCAGGACTGCTGTACGTGTCTCATTAACTACTGGAAATATTTTAAACAGAATAATTAATCTCCTGCCCGGCTCCAAAATAAACTTGTGGCCTCCTTTAAGTGCAGGCCTAGTTCTTATGGATGAGTGGGACGTGTTCTAAATTGAATCAGCCTGTATGTATTATCAAAGGGAGGATGCTTAATTCCCCCACCCCCCAAAAAGAATAAAAAATAAAAAAGACATTTCCAGGAATGAATCAGGCCCAATTTGGACTTTTTTTAATCTGTAATGTAAAAAATGTAGCATCGTCCACCATTACCTAGCATCTTTTAATTTAAATAAGCATGCTGAATTTGCATTTCCACTAATATGTTGGCATTTCAAACATATGAATCCCCGGTTGCTATTGATCTTGTTGTAATTCTGAAACCATCATCAATCACCAATCACGTTTTCCATCATAGTGTCTTTTGATGGTTTATGTGTTCTTTAAAATTGTAATGTATTTTTCCTTTAAAATTTAGTTCATTTTAAATGCATTTGTTTTGTATTTAAGTGAAAAAAGTGTTAAAGGCAGTAATAATAACACATAAATGAGAAATTACCAATTAGATATGGTTTGATTTGAAAAAAAAAAGGTTATATGTTTATTTGAATTATTAATTAAATTTTAAGATTTATATTAATATTTGTTTTATTTTAGGGCTGCGGAATATTGGAAAAATCTGACATTGCGATATTTTGTTTTGCTGTGATATATATTATGATATGAATATAATATCACCAGGTGATTTTAATTGCTCTATTTTAAATTATTTTATTTATTAAGGTCAACTGAGATAATTAAATCTTTCTCTATGCAGTGCACTGGCATAAAATATAATAAATTACAAACATATATAATTATAAAAGTTAAAAAAAGAGTGAAATGAAATAAAATAACATGGTCATCATTTTAATATTGCTAAAAAATGTAATATTATTAACAACTCTAACAATTATAAACAATCTATGGAACAGAACTGAGTCTAGCAACGGAGTTGAGGATCCATGTGCAACTTTACTTAACAGAGAATGGTCAGGCAACTGTCCACATACATATAGACTATTCAAAGAGCATGGTCAAAAGCAGACTGGGGATCGGAGCAAATGGCAAACAGAATAAACAATAAACAAAACAGGTCAAAAACATGAGAAGATTAGACAAGAAATAACGCTTTGAAATGCTTACTGAAAACGAGACTCAGCCATGTGTGCGTGTGTTTGAGATGAATATATAGACCATTTTGAGTGATGTATACAAAAATAATGTTCCCAATGTATTTCCTGTTGTACATTTTTTAATTTCTATAGCTTCCGAGAATACAAAAAGAGCCACATATTGATAAATAATGTTATGGTAGCTGTTTTAACATTAAGTTGTGATTGAATTGCCTCCTGTTACAATAAATAGTTTGATAACAAGCAGGAAATGTCAGTGTCTGGATGACTGTCAGCTGTGGCAGGAGTGATTTAAGCAATGACTTCTGGGATTTGTAGTTCATCGCAGCAGAACTGTAGTCCGGGTGATAATTCATGTTATAGGGGTTTTGCACAGCCTAGATCGCTGGTAATCACCACAATCTAATTTTGCGATGTGACTATTGCAGATACACACATTGTGATATCGATGCTCAAACAATATACAAACAACTTTATTTGATTAAACAGGGATTCAACCATTTCAAATGAACTCAGAATGCATCACTTTTATAGATTTTGTATGCATTATGAAGATCAAATTACAGTCTGATACCCATATTTTGCAACTTGTCATCTTTCTTAGCGCTTTTCATCAGCAAATTACATCTGATAGAAATCTAAAGATTTAATTAATTGCTGACTACATTGCTATTTAGTTCATTGTTGTCTACAACACGCCTGAATTAACTGAATCTCAGTCTGTTCAACAATCTATCCATGACCCCGAATACTTCACAGTGAGATATACTTGTGCTAGATAATTGCTGTGCAACAATTTCAGCTATTGCTATTTTATTTATACCCTTTTATCTCTCCAAAAGGATTTTTTTTTTCGCCAATGCATATACAAAGAGCAAAACAACCAGAACGCACTGAAAATCAAGGACTTTTTGTAAAACAAGCAGCAATTATACTTGGCTAACAAAAGACACAGCTGCCAGAAACTAAACTAAAGGCAGTTTCCATAACCCACTGCACTGATGAATACATTATGGTCAAAAGTGGAGCATCTGAGCACTTTTAACTAGAATAAAGCAAATATAGAGGAACCCCTTTTAAATATCATTGTGTAGTTGAAGTTACAGCAAATTTGTAGGCTGCTCGCTGCTACTAACATTAAGTCAAATCAGTTATAGGGTACACTGATAAATGAGAGGTGTCCGGCTTCTTTTTATTATGCTTTCACATTTAAAAAAAAATCCTGCTAGGTTCCTTTTGCGTTATTTCAAAAGCAATAAACTTCAGGACCATAAACTTGGAGAGCAAGATATACACATGGATGTTCCTAAGTGAATTCATATCAGCCAGAAATAACTTTTAGGCTGGCAGGTTATTAATGAAGCAATGAAGGAGAGAGATAAGAAGCGTTTTGTCAGCAGCAGGAGTGATATTACACAGTGTTCATATAGATTGCTGTAAAATTCAAAAGTAGTTTAAATTTGATTCTCTCTGTTGGGGTGCCAACTAAAATAGGTGTTGTGAGTCACTTCAATATGTCTGATGTTTTAGGGAGTGATTTTTAAAAATGTTATATTTGTTTTTATTGTAATGAAATACAAATTTATTAAAACCAAATGAACATGGTATTTGTTTTCTGATAGCACAAATATGCAGATGAATATGTCTTTTATTGTTGCCTATATGTCTGCAAAATGTATCAGGTCAGATATTCAGCATACATTTATGATGTGTGTGAATTCGGTTATAAGTTCTTCTTAGCTATCTTGTATGTGTGCTGGATTATTGCTCCTAATTTGTGGTTTAAATAAACCTCATTATCCGCACGCCATGTTTTAATGCATTAAACTGCCCTGAAGTGGTATGCAAAATGCAAGCTTTTGTGTCCAGGGCTTTTGATGAGAGGTTCTCAAGCTACAAAACCCATTTTGGATATTTTATATGCGCACGATGTGTGTTTGATGTTTGTGCATGTCAAGAAATTGCCTTCCTTAAGTACACTTCAGTGTGTGTTTGCAAGTACAATGTCACAAACAGAATCACCTATTAGGATAATGCATCATAATGCATTATAGATTCTCCATTTTGACCCAACAATAAGCATTTTTATAGAGAATGCTCTGAGTAATTGTTTACGTTTAAGACTAAGATCACAGATCGTGCGAATTCAGTCTACTCTTTGCTGGTCTGAGACTTTATAAAGACACCTATTCGCAGGGATGTAAATGTTTTCAGATATCATTGTAGAAATCTTTGTTTAAAGGCATATTAATGGGTCCTTTATTAATTTATATTGCATTATATTGCATAACATCACTTTCAAAACTATTTTGAAATCTTTTTTTTTGTTACTAAGTGTGTAATTGTTGCATATTAGTAAGAGCTGTGTACGCAGCTATCATCCCCTTGGTGTCACAAAAGCACTAGTAACTGACAA